CTGAAATTACAGCTAACGGTGCTGAGGTTATGATGGGAAAGTTTACTTTCATGGTTCGTAAATTCATATGAATTGGCTGTATTTTGCAGGTTACTAAAATGTCATGGGTTTGTGCAGCTTCAGACATTAGGAGTGTTTGGTGTACTATGATTGAACTTCTTATTTGTGTACCTCCCTAATATGATTTGCAGCCTATGCTGGCTTCGTATTATGCAGGTATGCCTTGTTCTTGATATGAACAAGATATTGCAGCTTTAATCTCTTGTTACCCTTTAATGTATCTACGAGTTTGTCACCCTTCTATGCTCTTATGTATAATTATTAAGATTGAATGTGTCCTCTCCAAAGTAATGTTTACTATTGAGTTTTGACTTTAATGGGATATGTGATATTGGATACAAACTGTGGTAGTTTGCATGTTTATGTCTTCTAGCTTTAGTGACATTTCTTTTTTCTTTTGTTTGCTTCATTCTTTCAGGATGATCATCCCCCAATAACTGATAGTCGATCTCCTCACATTACATATTTCCTATGCCAATGCTTCAAGAAGGTATATATGTCGTTTCTTTGATTCCAGTATGTGAATTCTGTTTTTTGTTTAATTGTAGCATATCTCAGTTGTATTATGATTGGACATTATCCATAGATAATTTGTTTTGCTTTCTCTATATTTTTGTGTCTTAATGCTCTTTCTAATTTCTGTTATAGATATGAGTATAGATGGGCTGATGGGGTTACAATAAAGAAGCCGATTTAGGTATCTTCATATGTCATTTCATGGTGATTGGCATAGGTATATATTTCCTATGCCAATTTTTATCTCTGCATATAGTCTATCTCTAGAGCCTTTCTTTGGACAGAATTGGCTTCCAAATTCCCCTCTGCCGTAGAATGCAAGTCTATAATTAAGTAACTGCCGAAGTGGATCTCTGTTCTTTTCAGTTTTCTGACTCTTTCTTTATTGTGTTAATACTGTAGGTGAAGCTGAGAGTTGCAGGTTTGGTTTGAAAAGATGCGCTTCAGTTCATTTAGGGCGAGACCCTGTTAAACATTCCTCTTAATTCTTAAGTTTTCTAAGTTCTTCCATGTTCGGGGTTCGATGTCTTCTTATCATATATGCTTGCAGGTTTAAGCTTGTCCAGTGACTTCACATTACCTCAGGATGTAAAAGAAGCTGGCTTTTAGATTTGTGCAGAAGAGCTAGGATCCATTGTTGAACTAAAAATTCATGACGGGGTGGAAGGTATTGCCGAAAAAGTTATGCACAACAATCACCAAAGGGTGATGGGTCCAAGTGCTAGGAATAATCCTAACTCTTAAGAGCATGTTTGTCTTATATTACAACTTTCTTGTACCTTTTTTTTTCTCTTTGTCATTTCAGAAGGCAGTTGGTTACATCTTCATTGTTTATACACATTGCAGGTTGGAAAATCGTTAAGTATGAATATGTTGGTTGAGATGGTTTCACTTGCAGGGGATTCTTTTCTTTGATAGAATGATAGGAACAGTACTCGATCGTTGCACTTATCTGTAGCTACAGGTCAGTAGAAGCTATAATTACTTCCAATTTGATGCTTAAATTTTGCAGTCAGCCCATCTGCCACTATATGTATTCAGACAATACCTTGTTATTTATAGAAAACACAATGCATCATGACTCTTGAAGAGGCCAAAGTCAGATGTGTGTGAGATCAATGCTCTTTCAAAACCGCATTGGTATTCAATGTGGTGCTTGGTGCATGCAGTACTCCTAGAAAGTTGTGATTCCCACGGAGTCTATTTTAGCATCAGAAGCTGAGTGGTCAAGTCAATTAAAGCTTATTTAGTTAACTTCCGACATTGATTCTAAGTGGCCAAGTCAATTAAAGCTTACTTAGTTCTTTCAATTTTGATTTTTCATGGAGCAGGTTTCAGATGTCATTCCTATTACATGTTGTGCAGCTGTGTAGGCAGGAATGTGTTTCGTATGTATCATTAACTTCAGGTAAATTGGTTTTTTATACTTTAGGATGATGTATTGAAGTTTTGCTATGAGGCATTGATTCTATTGCTTGGTACAGGGTAGTACCTGCTTATGGTGAAGATATATCTACTTGCTGTAGCCAGATATCTGGTATGGTTTATTGGGGCAAATTGAGTCAACCAAGCTCTGTTACAGTCTTTTAGTGGAACTTCGCCGCTTGCAGAATCAAAATCAATTCATGGTAAGTCTTTGTACTTCAGAATATGATTTCCTTATAGAATGACATCGAAGAAGCATATTTAGATTATGAATGTGGGTGCATAGTCAACAATTGTTATCTTATATTGTTTCGTACTTCTTTGATTTTCTCTTATGAACAGGGTGCAAATAGTGCTCTTGCTCCGTTTTTGGGTTCTCAAGCTTCCTGATACGAATGCTTCTTTGGATTATGTTTGAATGTTTTTGGTAATTAACGTGTAGCCATGTAAATAATATTATTTTGGATCGTGAATCATATTATGTTTATGGTATGAAAGATGAACTATTGACTGGTACAGTGCATGTAATGAATTTGGTTATTATTACAAAAAATAGGTATTTGGTACAGCGTTGTCTATAGTGACCAAAACATTTTGTAACCAAGCTGAGCTTCTGGTTCTCGTTTCTCTTTAGCAACACTATTTAACGATGGTTAACAGTTGCTTGGTAAATGTTGATTTTGCTTTCATCATGTAAGACTTGTAGCAAGGGTTCTATCCCTAGCTAGTGTTTGCAACGTATTTATCCAAGGGTTCTAGGAAAAAATCCAAAAGTACCACTGTTTAAAAAAAATTTTCCAAAAATACCACCCAACCCCAAAAAATTCCAAAAATACCATCTTTTTCAAAAACCGCCACCCCACCCAGCGGTTTGGTCGAAAACCGCTTGTCGGGGGCGCGGTTTTGGACCAAACCGCGGGCCTAGGGAGCGGTTATAAAAAAAAAAATCTTGGACCAAACCGCTGGGTGGGGTGGCGGTTTGGCCCAAAACCGCCACCCCAACCAGAGGTTTGGTCCAAATTTTTTTTTCTTCGACCAACTCCTAACTTCGGTCGAAACTTCAATCGAACGTAACTTTGCACTCGGGTATCCGATTGTAGCGATTTTTTTTTCATTTCGCATAACTTTTCAAGATCTACAACTTTTACTAGGATGAAATTTTCAAAACAGGAACTATTTGTGGATATACGGGACCTTGAGAATAACTTTATCTTTACTTTTCCGAAATCCATGTACATTTTCAAATTATGATTATATTAAAAGTTGTAGATCTTGAAAAGTTATGAGGAATAAAAAAAAAGTTCATAACATTCGGAGTTTGGAGCACAAAGTTATGGCCGCCCAAAGTTTGACGAAAGGCGAGACCCGGCGGTTTGCGGCTTCCAAGATCTCAAAAAGTTTGCGGCCTCCATTTTTTGAATCTGAATAAATTTTTGAGATCTTGCAAGTCTCAAACAGTCGGGTTCCGTCTTCGTCTCGAAAAAACGTCATTTGCCACCCCGAACGACCTTTTTCTTTATTTCGTCAAACTTTGGGCGGCCATAACTTTGTGCTCCAAAATCCGAATGTCATGAATTTTTTTTATTCCGCAAAACTTTTCAAGATCTACAACTTTTAGTATAATCATAATTTCAAAATGTACATGGATTTCTGAAAAGTAAAGGTAAAGTTATTCTCAAGGTCCCGTATATCTACAAATAGTTCATGTTTTGAAAATTTCATCCTAGTAAAAGTTGTAGATCTTGAAAAGTTATACGAAATGAAAAAAAAAAAAAATTGCTACGATCGGATACCCGAGTGCAAAGTTACGTTCGATTGAAGTTTCGACCGAAGTTAGGAGTTGGTCGGAAAAAAAAAAAAAATTTGGACCAAACCTCTGGTTGGGGTGGCGGTTTTGGGCCAAACCGCCACCCCACCCAGCGGTTTGGTCCAAATTTTTTTTTTTTTATAACCGCCCCCTAGGCCCGCGGTTTGGTCCATATCCGCGCCCCCGACAAGCGGTTTTCGACCAAACCGCTGGGTGGGGTGGCGGTTTTTCAAAAAGGGTGGTATTTTTGGAATTTTTTGGAGTTGGGTGGTATTTTTGGAATTTTTTTTTAAACATTGGTACTTTTGGATTTTTTCCAGGGTTCTAACCCATGCTATCAAACATGTCTCCACTTAAATTTACACAAAGTTTTAGCAAGGGTTTTAACCCTTGCTACATGTATCAGCGGTTCAAACCCTTGCTATAACCCTTGCATGGGACTTGCACCTAGGGTTGCTCAAAACCCTTGCTACAGGTAGCAAGGGTAGCTTTGGCAAGGGTTGATACAAGGGTTGACCAAACCCTTGCTAAATCTTGTAGCAAGGGTTAAAACCCTTGGTATAAGTGAAAATAACCCTTGCCATAGACCATTTTTTTTGTAGTGTCTACCACAAGTTACGAAGAAGGTTCTTTTACATCGATCCCGGTTGAAGTGGGTGCGGTGATCCCACGAACCTTGGGGACAAGATTCTTTTAAGGGGGGAGGGATGTTACGAGATCAAACCATCATAGCATTTCGTAGAAGACTGGACTTGCATATCTTTAGTATTTTATTATTTGTTCGTATTTGATATTATTGGGTCTTTATTATTACTGTCTTAATTAGTAATTTCCTTGTTCAAGTTGGTTTGGGGTTATTGTTAGTCGTGTCTTAAGAGGAGTAGGAGTCATATTCTAGAAAAAGATTGGAACCCAATAGTTAGCTTTTGTTCTTTATTTGCTATTTCCTTAGTTATTTCCTTTCAGAGTTCTTTGTGTTTCATCCTTTTACGAGAAAACCCTAAAAACGCCATCCCCTACGATACATACTGTAACATTATGGCAAATGTTTGCCTTTCCTTTATTATTCTGTCAAACTTAATTTCTTTATTCATTCATGCATTACACATATATCCCCGGAATTCGCATGCTTCAACAGGATGCAATGCTTTAACTAGGAAAAGGAAAAGACGTGCGTGCGATTGTTGACGTGCAATGCTTTAACTAGGATCTGATTAACACGCTGTGCCTGCGACGCAAATCCATTGGCCGATGAAGAGATGCCTGCAAGGCAAATTTGGGTTGAAAGAAAGGAATTTGTTCGGAGTCATGCCATACGTAGCAGCAACTTGATTGCAGGTATCCTTCTTCTTCACCTGGATAGCGCTATCGCACGTTTGTACGCATGCCGCTGCATATATTCAAAATCATTAGTTACCTGATGAGTTATATAATGAACTTGCACAACAATAATCATCATTGATGAGTTATATCTCCTGATAAAGACGACAACTATACATATTATACGTACTACTTTCAGCGCCGGAAATCATCAGGAGAATGAAAGAGAAGGCCAGGAGGGATTTGTTGATCATGCAGAAGCTGTTGGTGGCCATTTCCTCTGGAGGTTTTTTATTGGAAATATTTCTCAAGCTGCGTTTGCTGTGTGTTGGTGTGGGTTCTCAAGGGGAAAGCCGATTGCTTATTTATATACATCATAATAATTTGTCGGCTTTCTTATGTTACGTAGCTAGATAGTAGATACAGAAAACAATAATGTGATAAGAACAATGATGATAATAATTTTATTAGAGCACCTGATGACAAGATCTACTTGGTCTTTCTTCCTTGGGGGTCTCTTTCTATTGTTTCTTTTTCAACGATGGTGATACAGAGGTCTCTTATTCTCTATATATTGTTATATGTATAAGTTGTCTTGTCTTTTTCCTTCTCGAAATTTTGTGCGTAATAGAGCGAAACCAGAAGCCAATCGTGGAAGAATTCATCTCCTGGTTCCTGATTCCGATATTGTCTATGTAATAATAAAATACAAATCGCTAACTACCATACAATTTCCTGTTTGGACCGTACTCAATTTTGATGGACTCGTGTTTAAAAGAATTTCTTTTCTTAATATAAAAGCCCTCCCTCGAAATTGACGATTTAAATTTTGTTTACTAAATAAAATAATGTCAATCGGATGGGTTTGAGTTTGTTCAATATGGTCACGGGTAGTCGAATTTCAGGTTCATCTGATTACAAGTCAATTGGATTCGGGTTTATCGGGTTGCGATTCAGTCAGACTATATGGGTTGATCGAGTAACATGTCAGTTGGATTACGGATTTATCGGATTGCACGTCAATTAGGTTACGTGTCGGGCGAGCTACAAGCAGATTAGGTTGAGGGGTTGTTCGGGTCAGTGCACTCCTTATAGAGATAGGTATATTGTTTATCAGAAGTTTTTAAATTAGTTCATGATAGGTTCTCAAATATATTATAGCCAATTAGCCACTCCTTATATAAGGTTACAATAAGTTTTATTACAGATAATGTAAAGATTGTGATAATCACTTTTAGAGAATAATTAAGTATATGATATATAATGTGAAATAGACATAGTTCGAGTGACGTTATTGAGATAATATAACTCATGATATATGTTATCAAATATACTATATCTAATTAGTCATGCCCAATAAAAATATAATAAGGTTTATTGTAGACAACATTTTAGTCACTAACTGTTAAACTTCTAAACAATCATGTGTAAATATTGTAATAATCAAATTGATAAATAATTAAGTATATGATTTATAATATAAAACAACCTACATTTAAGGTAGTTCGAGTGATATAACTTTTGATAGGTTCTTAAACATAATACATTCCATTCCATATATAACTAAAAGTATCAATTAGTCATGCCCACATAACAATTCGAGATTCATATTTGAAATAGTAAAATTTTGAAATACTAAAAAGTCGAAAGTACCAAAAAATTTCCTTCTTTCCTTTTCACCCAAAACTGTAAAAATCATAATTTCCCGACTTCTTTCTCTTCCAAAAAATTGAAAACAATAAATTTTCTCTTCTTTTCTTCTCCAAAAAGTTTAAAATACAAATATTTCACTCTGATTACTCTTTTCATAAATATAAAAGCCAAAAAATTTCCACTTCTTTCTCATCCCATAAATCAAAAGCACGAAAATTCTCCTTTCTTTTTTCCATAGAATTAAAAATACCAATGTTCCACCTTCTCTCTTTCCAATAACTTTTCTTTTAACCATAAGAAAATTCCTTTTCTTAAAAATATATGGTATCAAGTGAATTTCAGATTTTGAACTTCCATTTATGAAACAAAAAATGGTTTTATCTAGGTTTAGAATGAAAAAACTTCATTTTGAAAGACTATATATTATGCAATATACTAACTATTTATGTTAATCGGGTTGGTTTGGGTTGGCTAGATTGGGTCATCAGTTAGTCGGGTTTGGGTCAATTGGGTTCGACTCAATCGGGTTTCGGGTCATTCGATTCTAGTTAATCAGCTTGCGGGTCAATCAGGTTTGGATTAATCAGGTTGTTGGCTAGTCAGATTGCGGGTTAATTGGGTTGCGGTCAATCTAGCTGTGGGTTGGACGGGTTGCGAGTTGTTGACTTCAAGTCAATTTGGAATGCGGTTGGATTTGATGGTCGGTTTGACATAGCGGGTTACTCGATCTGGGTTCTATTTTGACACATTATCTAGGGGGTCATTTGGATGAGGGTTTTGGGAAGGAATTTTGCCCAAATCCCTCAGTCACCGGATTTAAGCACAATTCTACATTTGGGAAAGAAGAGAGATTTTAAAATTAAGAATTTTGAAAATCGTTTGTTGCTACGACTTGAACACAAATTATCTGCCATCGACAAGAAGGTACTATAATATTTTTTCCAGGTTAGATTAGGTTAGCCGGTCTCGATAAGGTATTATATACCTTTTCCATTTTTGTAACATGTATCTCCTCAAATATAGTGAAAATTCTCTCTCCTACCGTAGACGTAATTAACACACATAATGTTAGTGAGCCACGTGAATATTTATGTTCTTTTTACTTTTTTTTTCTGTTGTCGAACTTCCCAATCCAGTCTAAGTCCTTCAATCGTGGTTTTTGAATAGCTGATGGTAAACGATGGTTTCTACCTTGGTGGTCATTTTATATTGTTCCTTTTTCAACCATCGTGGATTGTGATTCGTATGCAGAGGTCTCTGAGAATAGTTGTCTCTTTCCCTCTTGAATTTTTGTGTAAATGGGAATATGGGTTGGCGACTTAGCGCTAAACAAGAAGCCAATCGGAGAAGTATTGTCTCCTGCAATTTCCTGATTCGTTATGGTCTATGTTTAATAAAATACTAGGGAAATTGAGTCGCGCTATCGCAGCGGCTTTCGACCGAGTTTTGGTTTGTTGTTTACCGGCCCATGAAAACTTTTTATTTTTAGGTTTATTTTTAAAAAATTTCTCGTCAAGAAATAATAACATTTTTCCTGAGCAAATAATCAAAATTGGAAAACGCCTCAATTGACAGCTAGTTTTTTTTTCCTATCACTGACTCGTTCCATCTCAGACCTTTATTTGTACTGATGTACATTAGCCTGAACCTTATTTCACTGACTCGTTCCATCTCAGACCTTTATTTGTACTGATGTACATTAGCCTGAACCTTAAGGTTCACTGACTCGTTCCATCTCAGACCTTTATTTGTACTGATGTACATTAGCCTGAACCTTCCATCTCAGACCTTTATTTGTACTGATGTACATTAGCCTGAACCTTATTAAGGTTCAGGCTAATGTATTGATAAGGTTCAGGCTAATGTACATCAATACAAATAAAGGTCTGAGATGGAACGAGTCAGTGATAGGAATATATATATATATATATATGGGGAGTTCTACGGTGCCCTGGGTGAAATTCAGGGTACCGCATACCTTGAGTAAGAAAACGTTATTCATAACTTGAATTGACTGATTTTTCGGACATGATACTACACTCTAACCCTTAAAGATCAAAATCTAGGTCTTAATTCTCTAAATCTTATACCACAAGATCAATTTAATTAGAAACAATAATCGACGGTTATGATTCGTCCAAATATAGGCAAAAAAAATCAATTCACCATCTTAGCGTTTATAGTTTATGATTTAGATCATTAGGACCTAAGGTTCACTCATTAAGGGTTAGGACATAGTATCATGCCCAAAAATCCTGCTAATTGGAGGTCTAGATAGCGTTTTCATACTCAAGGTATGCGGTACCCCGGATTTCACCCGGGGTACAGTAGAAGGCACCATATATGTATATATATATATATATATATTGACGTACTTATTTTATGTATTTAAATATTTTATTTTCGTATTAATTTCAAATCATTTCATTTTTTATCCATATAATGGCTCCCATATTATATACTTATAAATCTATATAACACCTTTAATAACCTATTAAAATGTACCATATTCCACCCAAAACTCTCATACTCAAGGTTGTCAACCCGCGGGTCTATAATTGATTAACCCATTTTGACCTAACCCACTGAGAAAAATGAGTCGTACACCTGCTGGGTCAATCTGCTGTAAGGTTGTCGGGTTGTAGGTCATACGATGTCCTTTTTCCATCTGGTTTGCGAAATGCCCCTATTTTTCGATCTTCCTCTTCGCTTCAATGTAGTCAAAATCGAGTTTCTAATTAGAAACGTTTTGGTGATTTGGAAGCGTAAAATCGTAAGTTTTTAAGTTTTAATGCGGAGTTTTTAACTACATAAGTTGTAAAAACTGAGATTTTGTGTAAAAGCGTTTTAGTGATCTAGAAACGTAGAATTGTAAGTTTTTAAGTTTTAAAGCGCGATTTTGACTACACTGCTTCGCTTAACCCTATCTTTTGAATTCTAAGTTTAACATTTGAATATTGATGTCATATAAATGTGTATAAGTTTGTGTTAATTTTCACTATATGCTGGATTCACATATGACATGTTATTTTGGTGTAATTTTATATTTTATTGCTCATATGTTAGATGAGGTTTGATATAATTTATAAATGTATGAACAATATAATGACTTATTCATTTATCCGGACTAAAACAGACTAAAATAGTTGGACATTAACCCTCAACCCACTTGCTCAACCGAGTAGACAACCTTGCTCATACTACTTCTCCCTTATTTGACCACCTAATAATTGTTATCTCCTTCCTTCTCTTTCTAGTCCGCCTCCCTCTCTCCTAATTAGAATACTCATAAACATAATAATTATAAAATATTCCAAAGCTACATCCGTAAGTTGCCGAATATAGCATAATAAATGTACTAAGTATTAACTAATAATCCCCCATCAGAGTGCCACGCGGTGATGATGTGTCCTGCAAATCAGAAAATGAAAGGATATTTGAGTTGCATCCTACACGCTGTTTGGTGGGGAGTTTGGATCGAGAGGAACCAAAGGATATTTTTAGAGAAGGCGGTGTGGGCTTCCGTGGTGGCTAAGAAAGCTGCAAGACACTCTATGGAATGGTTGGTTGCGCATGGAAAAGTGGAGAAATCGGAGGGTGAGAACTAGTTGAAAGATACCTTGCTGGCTACTTAATTGGCGAGGGATCGATTTTGTTCTGGTCTTCCTTTCTTTGTTTGGCGGCAGGGTGTTAAGGGGTGATCAGGCGGGTGGTTCGGTTTTTGTTGTCTGGTCTGGGCGGCTTTTCTCGTTGTGTTCAGTGTGTTGTGTTTGTTTGGCCTCTGCTGGGTTTTCTTTTGTTTTTCTGAACAGGTTAGGTTGTTCGCTGATGCGGCAGTGGCCTGGTCCTTTGCGTTTGTTTTTCCTTTTGTTTCTTGCTGTCTGGGGTTTGTTCTCGTTTCCCCTGTTGTCTGCTCCTTTTGTTTTTTGGGCAGTGGGTTCAGCGCTTGTGAACCAGGACCTTCTCTGTTTCAGTTCTTTTTTCCTTTCAATTGATTATCACCATTATCAAAAAAAAAAAATTGACAATGGTGCAAAATAGCAGACCCCTTATGCAACAGTAATCTCATTGTAACTTTAATTAGTATTAAGACTAGAAACTGAAGGCCGTGCATTGCAGCAGCCCAAGTCATTGATTACTTATAATGGGCTAAAGCCTAAAAGTAAAATAAATAAAAAGATTAAGGATAAATATAATATATTAGTCATAACTATTAACCCGCGGGGAATTATAGATACAATTATCGAAATACAAATTATTAGCCATAATTATTGTTGCGGGTCAAGATTTGGCTAACAACCCGTTACTGTTTTCAAATTTTTAACGAAGAAGGCCATGCCAACACCATAAAAAATATGATATGATGACTGCCACGTGGGAGCTAGTTCAGCATCGTAAAAGTTTAGTCAACATTACTAACAGAAGTGTTAACAGAGACTTAACGGTTGGCTAATAATTTGTATTTCAATAGCTGTGGCTATATTTTCCCGCTGCTTAATAGTTATGGCTAATATATTGTATTTACCCAAAGATTAATCAACTGCTTTACGCTTTTAATAATTTTTTTTATTTTGCTGTTTGTTTCTCTCTCTATCATAGTCTCAAGTTGTCAAACCGGGTTATATAGTTGTGCCAATTTAGCAACCAGAATAGTTAGATCAATAGTATAATCGATTTGTGCCAGTATAACAAAATATGTAGAATTGTAAAAAATCATTAACATCAAATGAATTTAATTATATATAATAAAAATGTGAAGATGGTGTCCCTAAAAATTATATTCATATTTAAATATAATAATATATTTTAAATAAAATAAAAATAATCATATTTACATACGACATTTAATGTGAATATCTAAAAATTCATACTTGAATCCAAAAAATAGAATCAACATTTAATATTTAAACTAAAAAAATAAATAATTTTTTATTAATTAAATAAAAAATAAATAATTTTTATTAATTTATAAATCATAAATAAATCATATCGGTTGTACCAATTCTGTTCATGCCGATTTTTTAGCGGCACCGGTTGAATCCGGTTCAAAATAGAATCTTAAAATGTACTCCATTTTCATTGTTGACCTTCCTGTTTCGGTACAATTGGCGGGTGATTGGAGAGTTTGGAAGAAGAAGAACAATAACAAAAATACTATGGAAAAAAAGGGATAGATGGCTTTGCATGGTGACTCTGGTCATCTAAAATTATATCTTATTGAGAATTTTACATTGTGATTAATGATTACGAGGTTTTTGCCAGCGCTCTGCGCCGGGATATGTGGTATTGTTAAATTAATTTTGAGGTAAAAATTTAGCTCTTGCATTTGATTACCATTTGAGCACAATGTCAGAATGCTATTAAAACTGAATCAAGTTGTATTCTGATCTGGTCAATATACAATGTTCAATATATATTTTCATTCTCATCCTCACATGACAACAATAGGTTTCGTTCATGCAATCGTTATCAACTGGTCTCAGCCTGTGAAACTCTTAGACGAATAGTTTATTTTAAATATTAACAATATGAAGAACAAAGTCATTTTAAATTCATAAATATTAGAGAACTGACGCTGGATTCCTCCGAATCGAACTTCAAACATTTAATTCAAATAACAATCAAAATTTCTATTTGTATAAGAATGAGAATGACGATTTACATTTGGGTCCATAGAACCTTCAATCCATCATGAGCACGTACCAACATTCCAACAAATGAATCATGTACTTAAAAATAAAAAATCTGAAAGACCTTAAAACATATCAAGATACAACTTAACAACTAATTACAGGTAATATGGCTAGCACTAATACAAAAACATGGTAGGAATAATCTACAGAAAAGGTACCACTAAAATGACAAAGAGATGAATTCCAAGAAATGCAGGGAAGAAGGTAGTTGCTGCTCCTGGTTAGCTAGACATGGTTGACTGTAGAGTCACCAAGAGCATGATCCCCATTCAACTCGTCATCACAATATACCACCTGATTGTCCAAATGAAAGTCTCTCAAACCAACCAATGCAATAAAATATGGCCCCAAGAGTTGAAACATCTATCAGCCACATACAAACTTCACAGAAGAAAGTTCCTTTACCAACAACCTAGACATGAGATATCAACTATTACCTGATCACTAAGGAACAATAAACCAAGCATAAGCAAATCAAGGTAGATTTTAAAATAAAACCAGATAGAGGAGAGCATGGTAATAAGGTCTCCAAACATTATGGCCAGATTGAGAATACAACGGCAGTAGCAAGGCAATCAATAACCATAACAAAAGGAGAAACCACCCACCAAGACTGCAACAAAAACCATGCTTCAGACGCAAAATGGACCAACGCCAATGAAAAGAAGATTCCTGCGAAAAACCTAGCAAAAAGATTCCTCTGCCATGAATGGTGAACTCGACCCACCGAAATAGGAAAACAGAACCGCATGGGAGAAAGAACTGACATTAGAAAGAAAGCAAGGAAATATTGAAAAAACGATTCACCAGAGAAAGACAATCACCTCAAATATGAGGATCTGCCTCGTATCCCAAGAATCTACATATCTCTCGAATCCTTCCGTTGCATAGATGAAAAATGATCGAAAAAATTAGAGAGAGAGAGAGAGAGCCGAATCAGCTTTTCAGCATCCCACAGTGAAGGTTAGGAAGAACCCACAGACAATGTTTCAGGGTAAGTAGGGTAGCGGTGGCTGAGATGGTCGATCAACTCTAATTTGTTCAATTACTTTGCTGATTCCGGTGCTCGCGGCTACCCATCTGAGAGTGACAAAGGGAGAAAGAAAAGAATTGATTAGGATTTAGGGCCTTCTGCGGAAAAATCCAATTGAGGAGAGAAGCGGCAAGATATTTCGACGATCGACGACCGAAAGCTTTAACACCAAACGCTTTGCCGATATTTCGTCTGGATAAGATTAAAAAACATGCCAAACGGAGAAAGATAGATAAGGAACCATCTACGAAAAGAGAGATTGGTAAGCTAAAACTAAATCGAACCTAGGAATCACTTTGATATCTTTCCAACTCAATCATCTCTTGGTCCTGCTGCTATTCGCTGATATTCGGACGACCAAAAAAAGATATCCCTGACAACAAAAGAGATCGATGCCAGAGAAGAAAAGGTATAAATCAGGATCTGAAGTTAAGAGAGAGTACAAAACCAGAACGGGAGATAGAGAGAGCAGAAATAAGAAGAAACGTTGAAGGCCAAAATCTCACCTTATAACGATGGGATCTGCAAATTTGGTTCGCCTCCTTGAAGAATCTAGTCGCCATCCGCTGCGGTCCTCTCCAACGTGGATCTACACCCTAATCCGCAGAAGGAAAAAAAGAAGTTAACATACACAAAAATTATTATTATTATATTATTATACGATTAAGAGGCCAGTAATATCACCATCGCCCAACAAAACCCTAGAACAAAGAGAAAAGCATCTGGAATATTTTTTCAGAATTAGAAAGAATCTGGAATCTACCCACAAAAGAAACTGAGAAACAAAGAGATATAGAAACAGAGAATTACAGCGAAAGAATCATGGATCCACACATCACAATCCCTTGATCCCGTCGAGGGAAGAACGCCCATCGTCGGTGAAGGCATCACAAAAAAATGAGTTGATCTGGCATGAGCTTGAAAGAGGAAAACAGGTTGAGAGAGGAATCGATACGCTTTGAGATTGAGAACATGGAGGAGAGAGAACAGACAAAGAAAATGTGAATTTAAGTCGTTTATGACCTCTTACAAAGTAGAACTCTTCTGCCAAGCTCGCCTCTCTCCTTGGCTAATTGAGTGGCACCGTAATCTGATGATTGAAACAGCAATCGATCAACGCGCTCGTCAGGCAAGCTATGCGGTAGGATAAAATTCAAAAATCTAAAAATGAAAAATTAGTCAGCTTAGGTAGCAGAGGCGAAATCCATCCCTACTCTCAAAGCCTCTCTCTGGGAAACAACACCCAGGTCACACCAAATCTCTCTCCCCAAGCAACCACTCGAGATTGGAAAGAGCAATTGAAAAGGATAATTCAAAGTCATCCCAGTCACCTCCAGTACCTCGAGCCTCAAACCCGACAAAAGTCCCACCTTCTCAACGGAAGTCGCTCACATGGGCCCTGAGCATACACATATCTCCAACCAAAAAAACTGAATAATCCTCGATCCATGCACCCATATGAGCTTCGGGTACATAAAGGTCATGTGTGACCAACGCGATCGAGACCCCCACCAACCAAACATAGACAAACCAGAGGTACCACCAGTTCCATCCCAACTGACCCCGCCAAACTTCATCTGATTCCAAATAGGAAACATCCAACGTCCGCCCACACGCCAACCCACGCTAAGATAGAACAGTACAACTCAGTCACGTTGTACAGTGAAAGTAGTCTGTGTGTACAGTGCACGGGCATGTAGTGGGTTTTCTTCTTTCAATGGCTTGGTCACATCATGGAAGGAAAAAAAAAAGCATGGTTGATATAAGGATGGGATGGAAATAAAAAATGTAGTTGTAGCATAAGGGTTTTGCTCCTAAACCTGCAGTCCAAATAGAGCCCTTTTACTATGCTATAAGTACTGGTGCTTTAATGTATAATTTGAAGTTGTACCATAACATTAAATGTATAAGTTCAAGTTGTACCATAAAGAAATTTGTACCCTTATGTTATGATACAACTTTACAAGTTGAAGTTGTACCATCAAATAAAGGTACAAGTTCAAGTTGTACCATAAAGAATATGTAGAAAACAGTGTAGGTATAATCCAAAACTATACCATAACATTGAATGTACAATTTCAAGTTGTACCATAAAGGTAAAAACCTATAACACCAATACTATATAGGATTGTAAAATTCCTCGTCCAAATAAGCTCCTCTTATTATATGTCGATCTTAGAGCATCTCCATTGGAATTGCAATTAGAATTGCATTATGACATGACATTCATTTGCAATTGCATTGATGTAGATGACAATTGCATCTTTGCAAGCTTGCATATAATGCAATTATGGAATGCAAGCCACATCATCTTTTTATTATTAAATTATTTATTAATTTTATTATTTGAGTGTTTATGTTTTAATAAATTAAATAAAAAATTAGTTGCAATTGCAAGTTGCATTGATGTGATGCAATGCAAGTAAGATGAGTTGAATTGCCAAAAAATGAAGTAACAATAAAAAAAAAACAAATGCAATTGCAAATACAATTGCACCAATGAAGATGCTCTTACAACGAAACATTTTCATCATATTAGGTCAAGTATTTGTTTATTATCAGATTTTCCATTTTCATTAAATATTTTGTACCCTCATCAGAGGGGAGTGGGTTTTTAATTGCGGAAAAATATATTTCCTTTCCCCCCTCTCTGTCGCGCCAAAAACCAAAAGAACCTCCCAAAAACCATTTTTGATCCCCATCCACGCCGCCAATCATTCTGCATTGCTTTCGGCAAGAATCGAAGTACCACCTGTTCTTTCCTACAAGTAACTAGTCCTTGTACTGACAATCTCTCCCTTGTTAATCGATGAAGATTGCCAATTCTTTGGGCTGGGGTTGTGTGGCAAAATTGAGGGGAATTGAATCCGAAATAAGATCTGGTTGCGTGCATGATTTCTTGTTTGTGTTTGGAGTAGTTTTGCTGAGCATCTTGAGTGTTTTCAATCATCGTTGTTGGGATGGGTTTTTTTGGGCTTTAGGGATTACAAGAAAGTGGGGATTTCAAGGTGCATGTTTCTTCTTCTTTGGGTTCCTGGTGGATTTGATCATGCACACATGTTTATAGCTATAGCAACTAACTGTGTTGACGGTCACGGTAGAATTTGGTGCCCATGCAAGAAATGCAATAACTCTTGCTTTGAAACACTCTAACTAGTGAAAACATATATCTTCGTCAACGGAATTTCAGAGGATTATATTGTGTGGATACATAATGGGGAATCATTTGATGTTGGTAATAGTTCTGGGTTAAACTAGGGATATGATGATCGCATGAGTGTAGATGAGGGTCTTGAGTAACGCATGTCTTCAATGTTATATGACTTGGGTAGAGCGACAGCTACCGAGTTTAGAACATCTAAGAGTGACAATACTAATTTTGGTACCTCTCAACGAGAGCTAGATCCAAAACTATCCAGGTTGATAAAAGATGCTAATTGTCCCCTTTATCGTGGGGGCAATTTGTTTTTCTAAATTGTCATTTGTTATGAAAACGATGAACAAAAAAATGATAACCAACCGTAGAGATAAAGCATTCAACTTGAACTTGGAGTGATTTAAGGATGCTTTAGCAAATGAGGAGAAACTGATGAATTATGAGGTGAAGTGGTATTAATGACCTTAGGATTGGTTATAAAACCATAAATGCATGCCTTGACAAATACGTTTTATTTTGAGGCCCTCTTCAAAATGAAACCAAATGCCCTAAGTGTCAAAAACTTAGGTATAGACCTGGTTAGGGGGAAAACGTTGTTGTTAAAAAGGAAAGATATTTCCTCATTAAGGATAGGTTTCTAAGGTTATTTATGACCAAACACATAACCAAGATATGAGGTGGCACAAGGAAAAACGACTTGATGGTGTTGATTGATATTAAAATAGAGCATACCATATGGTATGAAAGCGTACCATGTTGGTATGAACATACCAAGGCTATAGGATGTTTGAATACATGAGAGTAGAAGTATACTAACTATCATTTACGACTTTCAACATTGTGTACCACAAGATACCACCCCCATACCAGGGTGGTATATTGTGGTATTTTTTGGTCATGTATTTTTTTAACCTAAACTTCTTCATCTAGATATCCATTCAAAAAAGCATTACTTACATCAATCCTGTGTGTAACCCTTTGCCACCAGCCTGGCTTTGCACCTTTCATGACTTCCGTCTACCAGAAATTTGCTTTTGTACACCCACGTGTTGCCAATGATAGGTTTATCTGGAGGTGGATCAACTGCTTTCCAAGTCTTGTTCTCTTCCAAGGCAAACATCTCTTCATTTATTGCTTTGTTCCAGCACTCTTCCTTACAAGCATGTGCATATGTCTGTGGTTCAGGAGTAGTAGTAATGTTCCAAACATATGCTCTATGTGCAAGGTTTAAATTTCATAACTGAGATGATCAGAGATAGGGTAAATTTCATCTTTGCCTTGTGCTTTGATAAGAAGTAACCAGCAAGCTGGTGTGGTACTCTCTCAACCAGTTTGGTTATCTTTGATTTCTTAGTTCTTTTCTCAGGGCAATAGGTAGATCATGATGACTTGATGAAGGCAAGTTAACATCATGATCAGGTGTTGAATGAGTGGTGGAGGGAGTTTTAGAATGAGGGCAATAGGTAGATCATGATGACTTGATGAAGGCAAGTTAACATCATGATCAGGTGTTGAATGAGTGGTGGAGGGAGTTTTAGAATGGTAGCTAGAAGTAGAAGGAGGTATTTGAGGTGAAACAGGAGAAAAGTCTGATGAATTTGGTAAGAAAGGTATTTGAGGTTCATAATCCGGATCATTAGTTTCATGAACATTATGATCCGTTGGAAAGAAAAAATATGTAATGGTTGTATTCAAGCCATCTTCTTCATTGTCCTGAACTTCTGATCTAGTATTAAAGGGAACAGAAACCTGATCTATGTTGACAGAATTCAGTTTGCAAGGAAATTCTCCTTCATGAAACAAGACATCTCTACTAATGAACACTTTGTGTTCTTACAGATCATAAAGGGTGTAACCTTTAATGCCAAAGGAGTAACCTATGAACACTACCTTTTTGGCTCGTGGTGTAAACTTTGTTTTGTCAGGGTCTAGGTTTTTGGCATAAGCTAAGCAGCCAAAGTCCTTTAAATTGCTATAATTTGGTGGAACACCAAAAAAACTTCAAAGGTTGTCTTGTTATCTAAAATAGGTGTCGGAGTCCTATTGATCAAATAGGCAGCATGAAGAACAAAAAAACTCCAAAAGCTTAATGGTAACTCACATTGGAACTTCAAGGACCTGGCAACATTCAACAAATATTGGTGTTTCCTTTACACTCTTCCATTTTGTTGTAATGTTCTAACACAGCTCATTTCATGCACTATGCCATGGTCTTTATAAAATTCTGGCATGTGGAACTCCATGCCTTGGTATGATCTTCTTGTTTTAACCTTCTTTTCAAACTGAGTCAAGGCCATAGCACATAAGGACTGCACTAAGCTTCTGATTTGTTTCCCATCATATAAATCTGCACACAATGACTATGATCATCCAGAATAGTAAGAAAGTACTTAAAACCATCAATTGAAACAACATCAACTGGTAAACAAATGTCAACATGAACAAGATCAAAATTGGAATCACTAGTACTAGAGCTTCTATTGAAAGGCATACGTTTTTGTTTTGCTAAGTGACAACTTCACAATGTTTAGTAGTAGGTAAAACTATATGACTATGTGTCTTCTTTATTTCTTGAAGTCTTGCAATGGAAGGGTGTCCTAGCCCCATGTGCCATAAATCTGTCTCTTGGTTGTTGGTGGTTGAATGTGTTGAAAAAGAAGAGTGATGAGTATTCTGTGTTGGTGGATCTCCAAGAAGGTACGGTTCCGTATCT